GCGGGAGAGGGCGCTACTTTTTGGAAAGCTGCTTTCTCTGTTCACTATCCATAAAAGTCAGCCTCGTAAAGCCGTGATCTCTGTTTCTGACATCATACTTATACTGATGGGAGTTGGTCTAAAATCCAATCCTATCAGCAAGATCTCACCACTCAAAATTCACGTGAGAAGTTTGGAATCAAATTCAAATGCTGACTCTGTGATGGCGTTATGTGATCTTTGGAAAAGTCATCTTTCTCTGGTTCTTGGAACTGTGATGATAATACTTGAACTTTGGGGTAGAAGTGCATATGAAGCTAACAATGAGAAGACTTTTTTTTTAAGGTCCTAGCTTAGTGCCTAGTGAGTGCAGTGCTCCTAAGCATGTCCCCTCCCTTTTGTCTCCTCTTGCCTCAATCCCCACCTCCCCACACCCCAACTTAAGCAAGCTTTAGCTCCTGTTCAAGGAAATTATTCATGGTGATATTTTCTAATATGTCTCAAAAATGTAAGTCCAACTGCAGGCAGAATATAAAGAATGCATATCTAAGTCACTTGATTGTACTTGATATTTCTCAAAAAGAATACACGCTGCTAGATAAAGCCACTAAGGAATAGTCTGAATATTTCAATAAACATTTCTAATTTTATGTGTCAAGCTGCACCGATGTGTCATCTGTTGCCTCTTAAGAAGACCAAACTCTATGGGAATGCTGTTTTTCAGAGTAAACATTTTTTAAAGGGAGGCAAAAGTACATATGCTGATATTAGTAAGATACCACCTGCAATTTAGTTATAGTAGATCAAGTCCTGATACTGATTTGCTTTTCATATCCTAATTAAGTGAAGCTAAAATTTCCAAAGTCCATTTAGTTTAGTTTATTAAATAGATTACTTAATTTTCCAAAAAGCTGCGGGCTTTTAAAGTTAACATACTTTTAATGCATGTATTTCTCATTGTCATACTCCCCAGTGGCAGCTTTTCTCAAAGGCATGACTTTCCCATCGTAAAGATGTCTTCTTGGTGGTACGAAATCTAATGGAGGAGTGCATCGGGCAAAGTAGTGCACTAGGCCTCTTTCAAATGTTCTAAAGCTGTCACTTTGAGGTCTAAGGTGTGTCTGACTCAGCCATAGGATTTTCAATCACCTCCTATGCCTGTGAAAATTGGACAATGGATAGGTAAAACCAAATTACAATGGATATACGTGAATTATGATACTGACAAAGAATACTGAGCCACAGATTGTTAGAAAAATGAGTAAATCTGTCTTGAAAGAAGTACAGCCAGAGTGCTCCCAGAAGTGAGGATGGTGGCACTTTGTCACCTGACATGTTATCAGGAGGGATCGGGCTCCGGAAAAGACATCACGCTTGATTAAGTATGTGACCAGGTACGTGACAAGGAGGAAGACCCCCAACGAGATGGGTTGATACCACGGCTGCAAAAAACGGCTCCAAACACGGTGAGGAAAGCATGTGACTGGGCAATGTTTCCCTCTCTGCATTGTGAGTTTGAATCCACTTGACCCCACCTAACAATCATAAACAGATGAGAGAGCTTTAAAAGTCTGTAGGGACATTTCTATTATCTTTCCATTTCATTTGTCCACAAACTTTCTGAAGCCCCTTATAGATCCAGTAAGGTTAGAAATAACACAAAAGGAAATACACAATTCATAGAAGTGCATTTGCAATTAGATCCGGGTTGAATTAAACAAGTTGTAGTGTTTATTACAACAGGAAGTGAGATGGGATGGGACACAAATTAATGAAAATGACAAGGCTGGTGTTTTACGCTTTATCCTCAATCAATTTTTAATGAGAACCAAGGCCACACAGTAAGTTTTTCATAGACGCAAAAGTGGTGAATGATACTCATCTCAACTGGCCAAATAATACAATTGAGAAAGTGAAGATACACTTTGGTCTGATTTCCCCGAGTGGGTGGTGATGGAGACCTTAGTCAAAGGAAAGTTACCTGTTTATTGTATTTTGTCTTCACCTGGCTTTTAATAAAGCAGTCATATTCTTGTAAGAAAATATCCATTGCAGTTTTATTATCCTAGCCAGTGCTTAACATTTCTCTTTACTTCACAAAATCTATTGCTCCACGGTGTACTTATTTCCCCAACACTAACTGTTACACCAATGTGTACACATCTTGTTGGTGCTGTTGTTTTCGTACATGTGACTAGAAAAAGAAGATTATTTCTGTTTTCAGCTGGCAGATTCACATAAACTGTCAATATTATCATGCCAGTTGAATAGGTGGGTATTAAAACATGACAGACTATTCCCCCAAAATATATTCCTTAGAGTATTTTTAATTTGGTGGGCTGAGAAGCACAAATGCCAATAGAAATATAACTCTATCTTCAATAAGATATTTGACTAGATGATCAGACATTTTTATGATTTTTCTATGATAATAATTCAAGTACTGATAGATCGCCTTACCTTATTTCTACATTTTGATGGAAGTAAATGATGCAATAGCTTATAGAACACAAGAGCCCTTTTTTTGTTTTGTTTTGTTTTAAAATTTATCTAGCTTCCTGAAGCAGACCCAGTGTTAGAGTGGGTTATGCTATGCTTTGGGCCGCTAACCTAATGGTCAACGTTTCAAAACTACCAGTCTCAATGTGGGATAACGATGAGGCTTTCTACTCTTATAAAGTTAGAGTCCAGGAAACTCAAAGGGACAGTTCTACTTTGTCCAAAAGGTTTCTATGAGACTAAATCAACTTGATGCCAGTGGGTTTGGAGTTTGGAGTTTTCCTGAGTTAGATAACTTTTTAGTTTTATGGGTGTCTGTAGCATTCTGAGGAGCAAAGATGAGCAACAAAGTTTAAAATGTGGTGATGAATAATATACTCAAATGTGCAAGTAGAAAACAATAAAGGCAATGCTTCTGGTGTTTTCTCTTTATCTGAAGTCAGAATTGATTAGGCCTATGTTGCATGAAACTTTGTTTTCAATCTCTTACTATTTAATAAATTCAATGGTCCTAAAATTCAGATAGACTTCTCCAAACATTTTGAGCTTGACCTTCTGGAAATCAATGTCAGAAAAATAAACCAGGTAAGAATCACAAATTCTTAAAATTTTAAAGTCATGGGTATCTAATCTGCCATCTATATTTCTGGGAATGGCCACGAAGTAAATAATGGAGATACATTTAGAAGCAATGCCAATGGTTGACAGGGCTATTTTGAAGCCCATTTCTTCTGTCTAGCTTTGGTTCTTCGTCCTTTGACGAACGCTCGTGATCTTTGAGTTCTTACCAGGGGGCAATGAAGAAGTGTAGTACATATTCTATTACGAATCTTGCCATTTTTTCTTTAATTCTAGATTCTTTCCCTCAACAAATATTAAGTACCTTTTTTGTACTGGTCACATCAGGTTGTTAAACATTCCTCCTTGTGTCCAGCTGAGTTGGACTCAAGGAGGAATGTTTAACAACCTAATGCATCTAATGGTTCTTCACTCTGCAGAGTTGAGTGAGGCTCAGAGCTCCAGGAGAGGCAGCTGCTCTCCAGTGCTGGCACCCACATAACCTGTCTCTTTTTCTACCTGCACTAAGCTGGTCAGCCTGTATCAAGCTAAGATATTTACATGTAATACTTTCATAAACCCACCTGACATTCCCTGAAGTGCTGCTTTGCATGAACAATTCTGATACTTCATAAGCATCATTGTTAAAGTGTCTCTTTAACGTGTTCTGATCTCTGAAGTACTGATTATCCTTCTAACTTATTGCTCTTTCTTCTTAAATCCTTAAAGGGGCTTGGGGCGGGGGGTTGTCTCCTGCTGCCCAAATGAATCAATACAAGTATTACAAATGAAGTATTACAAATGTAAATGAAGTTAAAATTGAACTTGCAAAACACACCACAATGGTTTCAATGGTTTAACATACGCACCCATTCTTACTCTCACTAACTCAGAGTTTTACTGGGGGGGAAAAAAAAAAGATCTGTTCACCATTTTTCTCAAACAACTTTCATGTGTTTTTGTCTTTGGCAGAAATGATCAGCCCTGAAAAAAAACCTGTTTAACTTAACTTTACAAGCCTGTTTAATTTATGCTCAGTAAAATAAGTACGCCTGTTTTTATGTGCTAGCTTCTGCCTCTTCCTCCTCCTCCTCCTCTGGCTGGGTGCGCACTCCTTAAGCAACCTGCTGCATTTTGTAACTGTGGAATTTAACTGAGCTCCGGAAGACTCCAAGCGAACAAGGATAAAGCATCACAGATGCACATAGTGAATCTTTTTCACTCTTCCCAGTACAAGCAGGCCAGGGTCGGGCAGGGCGGCTGGATTTACATCCCAAACGTATGCAGCCAATCCCTGCGGTGCACATGAGCTGTAAACAGGACCATTGGCTTAATTGGAATCTCAGTGGTCAGGCGAACTGGGAATCTCTAGTATGGGTCAAGGAGCAAGCATCAAAATGTTTCTTCTGCTTGTCAGCGAGCGAAAATGACGCAGGGTGCAATGGATCGGCAGGCTATTGATGACTTTCCATCCCATTCCCCAGTGTTAGTGGCCAGAGAACCCAGGGCTCAGAGACAGACTGACAGACAGACAGACACGCGCCGGGCCACCAGGATCTCCATTTCCTCCCAAGGCTAAAAAGGCTAAAAACAGCCTTGCTACCCAGCACCGTGGCTGGGCTGCATCTGCTTTGTTTACCATATAAGTCACACTAGGGGTTCACCCCGCGCCCTCTCCCCCGCGTTAGAGCCGGGTGTGGGGAGCGGCTTGAGACACACCACCAAACTCCAGCCCAGCCCCAGGCCATTGCCAAAAACACGCCTCGGAGCCCTGTCCCGAGCCTGGCAGAAAAGCCACTTGAAGGCAGGGGAGCCTTTTGAACTCCTAACCCCCAGGAGACGCCCGGCCATCTCCCAGGAGAAAGCCGACTTCCCAGGCCGGGGCGAAACTTAGGGCGCGATCCCGGCCAGGAGGCACCCCGCAGCCGCCCTCCCCTGGCGCTCGCAGGCGACACCCCGCGTACCTGGAAAGTTGCGATGTGCGGAGGGCAGGGCGAGCGGCCCGCGGCCCCGGCGGGGCCGGTTCTGCCGGGCGGTCCTCGGACGCTGCGGAGTTGGGAGAAGGAAGCGTTCCCCGGCGAACGCACGA